TGCTAAATACGGCGATCTAATAGATTTTCTTCGTGGATTTCATGCCCCTTGTCTTTTACCGATGTCGCGGTGAGAAATGGCTTTTTTTAGACATGGGTTTGGCACACACACAGTTTTACACCGATCGACTTCAAAATTTAAGAGCTGTTGCGCCATCCACTTATCTAAGTCCTGTCAAAGCCATGAGCCGCGCCGAGGTTATATAGTCTTTGTACAAAAATAGTTATAGAGTGTCTTATACCGATGGCGAGCAGTGTAGATGGCACCGTGGATGCTGCAGATGCGAAAAGCCATCTCGTTCTTGGTGAGCGTGCCCGTCTTGTCGCTAAAGACGTAGCTCACTTGCCCGACGTCTTCGTTGAGATTGGTCGTCCGCACGCGCGTCGGCACGCCATCGATCGTCTGGTCCATGTACCGTCACGAGCGAACGCGAGATGAAAGATTGTTGTACCAAGTTAGGGTCCCGCTCCATACGCCGGGCTTGGTGCCACTTGACCACTTCCAAGCTAATATAGAGCGAAATCGGAACCTAAGATCTAGTATCGTATGCACCCGGCCACCGTATTGAACGCACCAAATTGTTGTACAAGATGAGGTGCGTAACCCAGGCGGTCACAAACGACGTTGGCGACGGACTCTGAAGGTACGTGTGCTCGTGCAGCGCGGCCTCGTAGTAGACGGTCCCGACCGCGCTCAGCGTCACGGCGAGCGCAAGCAGCGCGAAGAGGAGGAGGATGCACCGGTTCGCGATGGCGTCGACGCGGGAGAATTTCGACGGCGCCGCTTTCGTGCTCAAGAGCAGTTTCGTGTCGCGCCCAGTGTACACGACGACGCAGACCACCCACTCGGTGTTGACCAACTTGGTGCCCCGGAGCACGACGTTGTCCATGTGCAAGCTCGTGGTGGACGCGCTGGTTGGTGACGCCTTGTCCGTCATCGCAATCTCGCCCTCGAACGTGTAGAGGGACTCGTGGGGCGCCTCGGTGCGGACGGTGCCCACCACCGAGCGCAGATGCTCGGCGCGCTCGAGGACAACGTCGACGTACGACGGGCACGTCTTGACCTTGAGGCTGGTCTCGCCGTCGAGGTTGGACGTCTCGACGTGCGCGATCTGCCCTTGCTCGGACGTGAGCAGCAGCACGGCGTCCGCAGGTACCCACTCGTGCTCCGAGACGCGCAAGACGTCGCCGACGACCACGTCGTCCCATGCGATCGAGGCAAAGACCCCGTTGCGCAGCGCCATGGTGCGCGTGCGGTTGACCTTGGCGTCGGCGTCGTGGCGCGCTCTGTCTTCGATGGCCTCTTTGGCCATGGTGACGAGCAGCACGAGCAGGAGCGGTCCGACCGTCGAGTACTTGTTCGTCGGCGACAAGCTCGTCGTCAGCTGCAGCAGCGAAATGATCAAAAAGTAAAAGTTGGCCACGCGACGGAACTGCTCCAAGAGGTTCCGGGGCACGAACGAGGCCAGCGTGTACTTGGACGTGCGCACGCCATTGCTGCCATACCCCGGGGCACGCTCGAAAAGCGTCACCTCGCGCGCCCACAGCTGCGGGTCGCGGATCGTGGCCAGCGCGAGCGGCGCGACGCGAGCCATCGCGTCCTGCGAGCAACGTTGAGATCTCGCTGAAACGGCACGCACACCTTTAAAGTATCGTACACTATTTCAGTGTTTTCGGCGCTTCCGGTGGTGGCGCCACCGAAGGGACGTGGGCGTCGGAACTGCGTCCACCATACCCAGCGTAGTACGGGTGCGCTGATAGTAAGAAGGTACTGGCGGCGGTAACCGACGACGTCTCGGACGCTATCGAGACGCCACTCGCAGCGTGTCGCATGTGTCGTTGAAAGCGGCATATGCCGAATTCAATTGCGTACCAACCAGCCGCCGATGATCCGCCGCTTGTTGCAGCCGCGCCGGCCGACGCGCTTCTTGCGCTCGTATGCATCGTTGCCCGAGCCGTTGAAGCGGCGCGTTCTGGAGACGCCGATGGAGCCGACGTACGACCCGCTGTTGGTGGAAGAGGGCTGGCAGCCGTATTGGCAGACGCACGCGTCGACGCCGGACGCGAAGGAGCACTTTACGATGCTGCTGCCGCCGCCCAACATCACTGGCGCCTTGCACA